TCAGGTTTAGTTGAAATATATAATTGAGGATCATCTGCAGAGCACTGAAAGCTGATCCCATGTCTTCTAATAATGTCTCCCAGTGGCAGCATGTAGATAGTAAACAGCAAAGGGCCTAAAACTGATCCTTGAGGCTCCCCATACTGCACTGGGCTGACTGGTGAAGGCTCTCCATTAATATTCTCACACTGGTAACGGTCAGTTGTTGGTTTATTATTCTTGTTGATTGTACGGTGTCCTTGAGTTGCTAGAAAGGCGCCTTTAAATAAAATGTATTAGTTAAGTATGACTTAAACCAGGCACATGCACACATAGGGCTCAACCTGTGCAGGGCACATGCCCTTTTTAGTCTTGGATAGAAAGTGCCCTTCCAAAATGATCTGCAGTGCCCCCCCCCTCTTCAGTTCTTCAGGCATCCTCCACCCCAAGAGTACACCGCTGGGGATTTTCACTAATGCAGTTTCTGTACTGTGATGAGCCCTGAAACCTGACTGAAACACTTCACACACACACACACACTGCTGAAGGTGTCACTGGAGCTACACACACACACACACACACACTCACACACATACACTCTCTCTCTCCTCTGCACAGGTGATGCGCATGACTCTGTCCACACTGAACTGGCGGCGGAGGGAGATGGTGCGCTGGCTGGTCACCTGCGCCACTGAAGTGGGTGAGTGAGTGAGCCAGACACTGATACTCTGTGTGTGTCACACACACACACACACACACACACCTCTAATAGGAACTGAGTGTTGATGATTATTATGTGTTTAGTGTGTGTCCTGCTGGATCGAGAGTAACGCTGTGTGTGTGTGTGTGTGTGTGTGTGTGTGTGTGTCCCGCAGGTGTGTATGCTCTGGACAGCATCATGCAGAGCTGGTTCACCCTCTTCACCCCCACTGAAGCCACCAGTCTGGTTGCGAGCTCGGTGATGTCCAACAGCAGTGTGGTGCGCCTGCGGCTGGACGGGCACCAGCAGGAGAACCTGGCGGGCAGCGCTCGGACCCTGGCCCTGCAGTGCGCCATGAAGGACCCTCAGAACTGCGCCCTGTCCGCGCTCACGCTGTGTGAGAAGGACCACATGGCGTTCGAGACGGCGTATCAGATCGTGCTGGACGCCGCCGCCACGGGCATGAGCTACACGCAGCTGTTCATCATCGCCCGCTACATGGAGCACCGCGGGTACCCGCTGCGGGCGTACAAGCTGGCCACGCTGGCGCTGGCGCACCTCAACCTGAGCTACAACCAGGACACACACCCGGCGATCAACGACGTGCTGTGGGCGTGCGCGCTGGCACACTCGCTGGGCAGGAGCGAGCTGGCGGCCGTCGTCCCCCTGGTGGTGAAGAGCGTGAAGTGCGCCACGGTGCTGTCCGACATCCTGCGGCGCTGCACGCTGAGCTCGCCGGGCGCCGCGCCGCTGCACGCCCGCAGGAACGCCAGCAAGATGCTGTCGCTGGATAAAGCGCCGCTGCGGCAGCTGCTGGACGCCACCATCGGCGCCTACATCAACACCACACACTCGCGGCTCACACACATCAGCCCGCGACACTACAGCGAGTTCATCGAGTTCCTCAGTAAAGCGCGCGAGACCTTCCTGATGGCGCAGGACGGACATCTGCAGTTCACACAGTTCATAGACAACCTCAAGCAGATCTACAAGGGCAAGAAGAAGCTGATGATGCTAGTGCGCGAGCGCTTCGGCTAGCCCACGCCACGCTAACCGCACAACCGCTCCGGTATTATGTGTACAGACTCAACACAGTGGAACGCTGTCATGTCTGCCTGTGTGTGTGTATATATGTGTGTGTACGCAAGTGTGTGTGTGTGTGTGTGTGTGTGTGTGTG